TTGTATTTTAACTACATTTTCTCTCTCTGTTACTTCTATAGTGGTATTTTCCTTCTCTATAACTGTTACATCTCGAGTAGTAGTGATTATTTTCTTAAAAGGATCATATACTCTATAGTTTTTACTTCCGTCAGCGTATTATGCCATAATTCAAAGGGAGATTTTCCTTGTAACACTGATGAAGTAGTCCGATTATGTAAATACACAGACGTGTTTGTGGCTTTAGCCCAAAACGTCTTAGTTAATTGAGCATCAAATAGTATGAACCTTGCTTTCCCGATGATAGTTCCGTCCATTCGTTCACATTATCCATTTTGCTCGGGTGTATAAGTGCATGTTGTTTGGTGAATGATGCCCATTTTCTTTACATAAATACTAAACTCAGTCTTGCAGAACTCTCTTCCATTATCACGCCCGAGTATTTAGATGCTTTTATTTGTTTGATTTTCAGCCACAGCTTTATATTCCTGAAAGCATCCTGAAGCATCGCTATTGTTTTTTAAAAATAAACAGCTGTCATTCTGCTATAGTCGTCTGCAAATAAAATAAAATACCTTGAGCCTCCAAGAGAATTCGACTCTATTGGACCACAGATATATGTGTGAACAATATTCAACATTTCTGTACTTCTACTACCAGTGTCTCTGAAAGGTTTTGTTTGTGAAAGAGTTTGTTTACCTTCACAACAAATGGCACAAGTAGACTTAGTGATGTTAACTTTCTCTTCCAAAGCTATTTCATTTACTGCATTCTTCACTTTATTCAGACTATCACTATTTATGTGTCCTAGTCTGCGATACCAGAGCTCACCTGATAAGATTGTAGCTGCACATATTTTTTGTTGAATTTTTAACTTGTAAATGATTGTACTTTTTTCATAGTAAGTACTTTACATGACCGCTTATGAATTCGTTTTCGTGTCTGTTTCTCCTAAAATTTACTTTTACTTTTGTTTCCGTTTATGATTCCGTTATGAAACTTTTGTTTTATCACTAGTGGTATTGTATTGTCTATTTGTCAATTTATAGGTATTTTGTAGTATGATCCACTCAAAAACTACTTATTCGTATTGTAAAATTATTTCTTATTATTTATATCTGCATCATATATATTATATAATGTATCTGGAATAACTATATTATACTTTGATCTCAGACCAACAAGATGGAGCGCCACGTACATTAAATCGTGCCGAAATCAAACCAAAAATTAAAAAATAATATTGTAACATCACGCACTCACGCACAAATATGCAACAAACATATTTGCACCCAACAGCATGGTTTAGATGCATTCAGCAGTGGTATTTTACGGTTTCAAATTCAAAATCAATTAGAATTAAAAAAAAATCATTTTCATTGTAATTTATTATATTTTCAAGAGTTTATCGCGGTTAATTTGAATCGCTTAAAATTTCATAACAATCGAACGAACAAACTTCGGTTACCGCTGGGATCACGGAAATTGATTTTCATAATTTCAAATGCTTATTATTCAGACCCGTGAACACTTTTTTTTACAGAATAAGGGTGACAAACGATCACACAGCCCAGTAAGTGGTCACTGTGGCCCATAGACATCTATATCTATCTTCGTTTGCGAATTAAGATGCAAATGCGTTGTCAGCCGTGAGGACTAAGATAGAATGCCTCTTTTCCAGTGAAATTGGTCTCCGGTTCTCTACACTCACCACACGAAACACAGCAACATAAAGCTGCTATTTTACACTGATATTCTGTGAGAGCGTAGTCCTTCCCCGGTCTAGCCGACCCATTCGTGCTACAACTATACTATTAATATAGCTGCAGCATGGCTCTACCACGTAAAAAAACACTTAAATATCCTTGTCCATTCAATTTGTTTAAATAATTCTCATGATAATAATTCTATAATACAGTGAATGCAAGATCGCGCTTAAGATAAAAGTACAGATAATAGACTAGTTAAAAAGGAACTGCAAAAATATGTAATTTCCCAAGGTCATAAGATTATACTGTTTTTATTGTGTCCAATTTGCAGATAAATTAAGATATAAGAAATAATAGTTACGTAAAATTTTGGTTACAACAGTAATCAATATAAGATAACTCCAATACTAGAATTATCGCTCGACGGCGACATCTTCATACGATAATTAGATTTTTTTGATTTTATAGAATAAAGGTGACAAGCGAGGACACAGTCCACCTGATGGTAAGTGGTTACTGTTGCCCATAAACATCTACATCTATCTTCGATTACGAATCAAAATGCAGATGCGTTGTCACCTGTGAGGACTAAGATGGAATACCTCGTTTCCAGTAAAAAGGGTATCCGGTTCTCTACACTCACCATACGAAACACAGCAGCGTTAATCTGCTATTTTACGCTGGTTTTCTGTAAGAGCGTGGTCCTTCCCCGGTCGAGCCGACCCATTCATGCTACAACCATAATATAGCTGCAGCATGGCTCTACCACGTAGAAAATACACGTATATTAAATAACGCTATAATATAGATTATTTCCTACCAGGTAAGGTAAGTCATTAATACAAACTAAGAACAGGAAAGGGCCAAGAAATTAACCTTAAGAAACACCGAATACCACTGTTTACAACTGCTTGAGTTCTATATTTTAAATATAATGTAATAAGTTTGAGTGTTAAAGTTTTTACATCATAATGATATAGCTTCCTGATTATTGTCTCACTGTGAACAAAGTCGAAAGCCTTGGAAAGGCTACAAAATATTCTTAAAGTAGTTGTAGAGCGACCTCTTATAAATCCAAAATGATTTTATGGAGCAATTTATTTACATTATAAAACTTAACATTTCATATAGAATATATTTTTTTTAAATTTACCACATGTTGGCAGTACAGAAACAGATCTAAAATTAGTAGTGGCCAATATTGTTCATTACTTATGTCTCATTAAATCAGGAACACATCAGATTCGATAGGTACTAGAATAAATAAATAAAAAAAACTATTGGTAAATCCAATTATGCATGCCCTAAGCGCATTAAAAAAATTAGGTATAACATATTATACGTAATTTTTAAAATAGTTTAAATACACACAACTTTTCACTAATGACCTTATTATACTTCCAATTTTCCAATAACTTTATGTCAAACTTCAATTTAAAAATAGTTTGGAAAATCCAAAAGTGCACGACTCATAATGCTCATATGATCATAATTCTCTTCTTTTAAAAAATACAACATTCGAAATTCGAACATTTATGAAACTTCACGATTAACGAATGAATGAACTTTTTTATTTTATATGGGTAATATAGAATGTGACGTCAAATATAAATCATAAATCTTTATTTGCAAGAATCACGGTATAAAAAGATGTTACAATTTATATAGTGCAGTCGTGTTTCGCTAATAATAGCATGCAAATTATAGTATGCAAAATATAGTGCAGAATCCTCCATATTTTAACAGAAGGCATGCCGAAAATATAATTATTTAATTTTTTCTGTCAATTTACTTCTATATGTAATTTACAACACATTACAGTAGATTATATGATTCCTTTTCAAATTACAAAAGAAATATTGTAACTGGTTTACACCAATAAGTTTGTTTTCTGTCTGTAATATCTAGAAACATAGAAGAGAACCAAGCTAAAGAACAGCCTTTCTCTGTTTTTGAACTATTGCACATAAATAATTACACAGATAACAATAATTTAGAAAAACAATATACAAACTATTTACAGATTATAGCGAGGCTTATAGAGGAGTATAGAATATATAATCAAATACGTGAAACATAATAAACTCTGGGAAGCATTGGTCGAGCAAGGAAACATCATACATAGTATTGCTAAAAAACATACATACTAATTGCAAAGCGAAAGTGAAATCAGAAAAGCCAGGAGAAAAATTATTCATACAGAAAGGTGTCGGCCAAGCAGATACAATTTCACCAAAACTGTTTATAGCTGTACTTGAGCACATTTTCAGAAAACTGAAGTGGATCACAGAAGGCGATAATATTAATGGAGATTACCTGTTAAACTTCGTTTTGCGGACGATATAGTAATCATCTCTGAGAGTCAAGAAGAGTTCCAAAAAATGATTTATGATCCAAATGCTGAAAGTTCAAAATGTGGCTTAGTAATTAATCTAGATAAAAAAAATCATGACTAATGGGGAAAAATACGTGCATTTTTAGAAAATAAGACCATCGAATATGTGCATGAACACTTATAATTAGGTCAAAATATTTGTTTCGTGAACAGGACAACAAAAGAAGTAGAAAGAAGAATAGCGTTGGCATGGAAAAAATATTGGTCGTTAAAAGAAATATTGAAAGGTACTTCCCAATACAAACAAGAAAGAAAGTTATGGACTCTAACGTACTACCAACTCTTACTTACGGATGAGCAAATTAGGCTTGCAATGCAGAAATAAAAAGAAAAATAAGATCATTTCAAAGAGCTACAGAAAGAAGTATGTTAAAAATAAAACTACAGAATCGATTCAACGCCCACAAAATTAGAAGAAAAACAAAAGTCACGGACAAAGCCCTTATGGCGATAGCGAGGCTTAAATGGAAATGGTTGGGACATGTCCTAAGATCCAGAGACGGTAGGTGGAACGAGCGCGCCCTACATTGGTTCCCGCGTGATAGCAAGACGACCTCTTAAATTACAATCGTCAAATTAATTACATTATTAATTTAAAAAAAAATACAATTTACCACCAAATATGCGAAAAACATACAACTTTTAATATAACATTTTGTCCATTAAAAATTCATTTATATCATGGAAAGTATACACGGTGTAAAGAGTGCATCCGTAAAAATTATAGATGATATAATGCGTAGAGCACATGCAGCCTTACTTATATATATATATATATATATATTTACAAAGAGTCCCAATGTGTGATTTCCAATTAAATTTTTCATTAATATCTTGTTTACGTCATTTTGTATGTATATTTTGCAAGGTATTGTTATGGTGAAACCACTTGATTGTAAAATGTTTTTTCTTCCCAGCAACATTGGCCTACAAAGTAGGTAAGCAAGTGATCTCGCTGGCCGAGGGCATGCCAAATGAAGACATGTTCCCGTTCAGTCGGCTGAAGCTACAGTTCAAGGCTGGAGGAGAGCTGAAGTTGGAAGGCAAGGAGCTAGCTACCGCACTGCAGTATATGCCGTCGCAAGGGTAAGGTATATAGAAGGCTCTCTTATATGTTAAGTAAATAAAATTTTTCAAACGCATTTTTATAAAAAAATCTACCAAGGCTACAAGCGTTTCAAAAGGAGGTTTCTCTGACTTGAATACAAATGTTGCCTTTTTCTCGTTTAAAATTCGTAGCAGTCAAGTTTTCAAGTTATTTTTATAGAATAAGGGTGACAAACGAACACACATTTTACCTGATGATAGGTGGATGTTTTGGTCTATAGAAATCTACATTTATCCTCAATTAAGAGTCAAAATGCTGATGTGTTGTCACCCATGGGGACTAAGATGGAATGCCTCGTGTCGATGGGAGGCATTGGCCCTTATAGTTTGGACATAGCTCGGGTCGATCGGGTTTGGCGCAAAGCACTTCTTTCAAAGCTTCTTTCTTATGGACTGCTCAAGAAATTATACAATTGGATCACACTCAAAGTCGCTCAACGAGCAATGGAGAGGGCTATACTCGGTGTTGCTATTCGTAATAGACTTAAAAACGAGGATATCCGCAGTAGCACCAGAGTAACGACATATCCCAAAGAATTAGTATGCTGAAGTGGCAATGGGCCGACCATATAGCTCGAAGAACCGGCAACCGATGGGGAAGAAAGGTTTTCGAGTGGCAGCTTCGTATCAGCAGACGAAGTGTAGGGCGTCCCTCCATTAGATGGAGTGACGACCTGGTAAAACATGCAGGAAGTCAAAGGATGCAAGTGGCTCGGACTGTGCTTTATGGCATTCTTTGGGGGGAGCCTATGTTCAGCAGTGGACTTGTGAAGGGTTGTAATGATGATGATGATGGTAGAATTTTTCAAATATTTTGATGTTTTTAGGTACCCAGCGTTGATATCAGAACTGCGCGACTTCCAACGGTCAGTGCACCGGGCGCCGGGAGCGCGCGACGTGCTCGTCACGAACGGCGCGCAGCACGGCATCTACCAGTGCGTGGACATGCTGCTCGACCCCGGCGACCCAGTCATACTCAGCGAGTTCTCCTACACCGGCGTCATCAGTGTGGTACAAACTGACTTTGTAACAAAATTAACACGCATACACACATTTTAAGTTTATTCAGATATTTTAACAGGGGTATCTGTAATTTCATTACAGTATTTTATATAGAATGACGGTGGCAAACGAGCACACAGTCCACCTGGTGATATGTGGATGCTGTACCATAAACATTTACATCTACCCTTAATTACGAATTAAAATGTAGTTGCGTTGTCACCTCCGAGGGCTAAGAATGCTTAATTTCCAGTAAAATAGAGCTCCAGTTCTCTACACTCACCATACGAAACACAACAGCTATAATATACGAGTAGCTGCGGCGTGGCTCTATCACGTACAAATTGCAGTGGCAACAACACATATCCAAATAAAATCAACAGATACTTAAAAAAAAAACATGCGTGAGTGTTGTGGAACACTCAGTTTAAACGAAGTTCCTTTCGTAGTATATTGTTATTGATAAACGTATTATATTATTGAAAAATACAAATAAATGAATTACTAGCGTCTATTAAAATGAATGAATGAAGCGTCATTTAAAATAAAATAATATTTCTTTCTTGGCAAGATGAGAAAACGTGCGAGAAGGGAGAAGGATATTATTACATCTCGCTCGCACTATAGAAAGGGGCTCGTGATGGAAACATCTTACACTTTTTCCCGCCTAGCGCCCATCCGTCCAATTCATACCGTGCGATAAAAAACTTCGTTCCAAAAATCAACAAGTGTACAGAGCCTTCTTTGTTTCAAGGGAGATTCTCTCTGTCGATCTTCATAACTTGCCGCACTCAAAATCTTCCTTACTTCTTTCTAAAGTGATAAGTAATCTGCCATCAGGTAGACTGATAGTTTACTTATCACTTTAGCTACCGCCCTCTTCTTACCTTTTCCTGTCGCCAAATAGAGCAGTAGATGCCCTGCTATGTTCCGGTCGAAAGCTTATTGAGAGCTAGTATAGTAACAGGCTGTAAGGTATTCTGTCATGGTCCTCAGAAGACAACGCAATTGTAGCCTTTTTTGTTTGAAGTTTAATGTACAGTACACACACACACACACACACACACACACACACACACACACACACACACACACACACACACACACACACACGCGCGCGCGCGTGCGCCCACACGCACACACACACACCGACACACACGCACACACACACACACACACTCACACTCTCTCTCTCACACACACACACACACACACACACACCTATACAGGCTCACACAAGCGTTTTTAATTTTTTTAAAAGCTATAGTAAGCTTAGTGTAGATTTTTCACTTGAAAACGTGTTACACAATTCGACAAACACCCGATTATTTATATGTCACCCAAATACTTGTCCCCTGCGGGAACCTAACCCCAGACGGATAATGTCATTTGCAAGCTAAAATGCCCTTATTTGTACATTGCACATAATTTCATAAATAATCTGTAGTTGGACTATAGTTTGGTTGAATTTATTCAATATTCCGTTCTCTTTTGCACAACATATATTAAAGATTTGTATTTATGTTCTATTGCCTTCATCATGTGGTTAAATTATAATTATTATTTGCTACATGATCTTTTACTTCATTCTTGAATTACCTCAGTCCTTTACCTATAGGTCAGTTTTATTATTAAAATGTGCTGTCAAAGCGATATGATTACGAGGTGTACTGTATGTACATGAGAATAAAAATATATTTAATTTATTTTTAGGTTATAAAGGCTCTCAAGTGGAAGCCGGTAAACGAAATGTAGTACGCCCCCCCCCCCCCCCCCCCCACTAGATAAAGATGACCTGACAACAGAATTTGATTGATGAACGTGACTCAGGACCATGCTTTGAGGCATTAATTGAAAGAGACCTATGTTCAGCAGTGTACTTCTGAAGTTTTGTGATGATGATGATGGTGATGACGAGGCTACAAAAGATATCAAATTGATTAACGTTCAAAAGCGCCTTCATCTGTTTCTGCTTTAATTATAGAAATATTAAAGTATGGATAAAAATTAATTTTACTGTAAATAATTCTATGATGATTTAAGATTATCATTTATTATCATACCAATATATTTAAAACAAATTAAACTATACTATTGTGACAGTATTTTACCTGATTTTACGGCAGTCAACTATGTAGTCCAAATGTCATTTAGCTAATTTGATATTTAACTTTCAAATTAGTAAAACAATGTTTATGTCAGCGTACACATATGTGTGTTTCGCATAACCAATCTAAAGCAGAAATATTAAAGAGTGTTTGAGATTTCTCTGATTGAGAATGTTAAAAAAGATATCTATGTGGTCTTTCTCTTATTGAGAATGTAGCTAAAGATATTATTATCGCTGCTGGTGAGTGTAGATAACCCTTTTTACTGGAAACGAGGCATTCCATTATATTCCTTAGTCCTCACGGATGACAACACATCTGCACTTTGATTCGCAATCGAGGATAGATGTACATGTTTTTTCTGTAGGTAGAGTGACAAACGAGCACACAGTCCACCTGATGGTAAATGGTTGCTGTGGCCCATAGACATCTACATCTATCCTAGAGGACTAAGATGGAATGCCTTCTTTCTAGTAAAAAGGGTCACTGGTTTTCTACACTCACCATACGAAACACAGCAGTGTTAAGCTGCTATTTTACTTTTTTTCTGTGAGAGCGTGGTCCTTCCCCGGTCGAGCCGATCCATTCGTGCTACAACTATACTACTAATGTAGCTGCAGCATGGCTCTACCACGTTAAAAACATGTCTATGGGCCACAGCAACCATTTACCATCAGGTGGACTGTGTGCTTGCTTGCTACTTTTATACTATAAAAAAATCATGGTAGTAGTTCATAAGTGACATAAATATTATAACACTTTACAGTTAAGACCGTACGATCCTGAAATCATCTCTATCCCAGAAGACGATAATGGCATGAGTTCCGAAACCTTGGAGGCAATTCTGGAAAGTAGGCTGGCGCGAGGACTTAAAATGCCGAAAGTCATGTATGTGGTTCCCACTGGAAGCAATCCTACCGGTCTTATAATCCCTGAAGAGCGGAAAAAGCAGCTCTACGAACTAGCTTGTCGATACGATTTTTTGATCATTGAAGATGACCCGTATATGTTCTTGAATTATTCTGGGGTAAGTTTTATTTTTAAATTTTTGATAAACAATTATATAAGCTATGATTAACAATGGAGCACTAACTCATTATTAGTATTATATTAAATAATATTATATTAGTATTAGATGTGAACGTGGTCTATATTTAGTCGAGCCGAACCATTTGTCCTGCTACCACAATATGCTCCATCGTGGGCTTTATCAGGTATAAGATAATGGGATGACATTTGGATAGGACCAGATAGGTACCCATCTCATTACTATATAAGTGTGGTCTAACCCCCCCCCCCTCTCCCATTGTATTGATATATATTGATAATGTCTGTTGCGTACCATCATAATAGACTATATAAAATCGTAAACAGAATTATTAAGTTTGTTTGTTAGTGCGTTTGTGCACGCTGATCTCCACCGTCTAGAGGCGGTTTTAGAGTATCCACTATCCCATATCATTCCATGGGTGTCGTAAAGCGCGACAGAGTGAAACTGGAACAGTAGATGGGCAGCAGCATGTTCCTGACAATAGCTGGATGAAAATAACAAACTGCGGTTGTCAACCCGAATGTCAAGCGTGGCAACTATGGCAAAATCCCTCCTATGAGGGAGGGCTATGTTCGGTGGTGGACTTTATAGGCTGTTACAGATGGATGGATGGAATTTCCACAGTGGCTTAACTAGTAATTAATGTAGTTTTAGTGAAATATTAAGATAAACTTGTACTAACATTTAATATTTGTTGCGGTTGACAAGCCAAAAAGAATGTAATTTTTAAAGTGCGTCTCGAGTATGCTAAACGTGATGCGTACACAAGTCAGAAGAATAAATTGAAGTAAAATCGCGTGAAAAGCTAGTTTAAGAATATATTGCGATTGCCCTAAAATATTGAAGATAAGCTTCTTTGAATGCAAGAACTATCTTGAATTAAAAGACCTTAGAACTTGTCCCGATAAAATTAATTTGAAATAAGTATTTAAATCCCAAACAAAATTTATTAAAACCAAACCAACAAGCACATGAAAACCCATGAAAGCCCAATTTGAAGATGTGTCCTATTAGAAATATAAATTCGCTTTGCGAAATGTTAAACAAAAAAAACTTGATCGAGTATATTTGAGATAACTTTTGAGAATAAATTCTAGCTCCACCTAAGTTAAGACATAAAAATCACATTGATAAAGAATGACATCAAAACCAACATGAGTGCAGTTTCGAGCTTGAGCTTGAAGGGAAAACGCTTCCTACAGACAGTAGGACAAATGCAACACACATGAGGAAAAAGTTTTCAGTTTGTAGATTATTCAGTTTTCACTTTTATTAGATACAAACGTGTTAATTTCTCATATTAATATTTAATTTAGTATATGACTTATTCCCTGCAATGAGGTTTTTCTTTTTGTTTTTCAATATGTGTAAATAATCAACTCAAATTTTTTGATTACTTGTTAAATTATTTAACTGATCTCCATATAGTCCATGAGTGTCTGACATATTAAAAACTGCACTTTTACAAACTGGTAGGACTTGTTTTCTATCTAGGTGTCCGTCGGTTTAAGTACCATTCTTTTATTTATTTATTTTTGCCAAGTATCGTTGACCCTACTGTTGTGAAGGGTAACATAGTCAGTATACAAAAGCTATGACGCATTCCTCGAGTGACCGCAGGTATCCACCTGTACTTATACTACGTAACAGTTTTATTATTTGTAATTTTAATATTATAAAAAATCAAGTATGTCTTAATTATATTTGATTTCTGTTTTAAAAAGCTTTGACTCATGTAGTATCAGTCTGCTAAATGATATTTGAGTGACGTTTTACGGTCGGTCTGTTATATCAGAGGAAATAAACATTGCATAATTGTTTATATCAATGACCTGTTCAATGAATGTTCATGTGAATGTTATCGTTCATTGTAGCAGCTGTACAAACTCTGAATATGTGGTAAACAAGAGAAATCAAAATTTAAACCAGAATTTGTTTTTAATATTTGATAGATAAAGTTATGTCCATTATGAAGTATTTTTTTTTATTTTTTTTTTTATAGTATAAGGGTGACAAACGAGCACACAGTCCACCTGATGGTAAGTGGTTGCTGCGGCCCATAGACATCTACATCTATCCTCCATTACAAACCAAAATGTAGATGCGTTGTCACCCGTGAGGACCAAGATGGAATGCCTCGTTTCCAGTAAAAAGGGCCTCCGGCCACCTGCACTCACCAAGCGAAACGCAGAGGTAAACCTCTACTTCACGTTGGTTTTCTGTGAGGTCGTGGTACCACCCCGGTTCGAGCCGGCCCATCCGTGCGACAGCAAAAGCTGCCGCGTGGCTCTACCACTGTGTAAAATTAAATTTCCTACTGTACTTGAGTTTTTTCTAATCTAATAATTCTAGTAATTTATTAAGAAAGAATTATTGAGTGTATTAGCAATTATAACGGTATACGAGGGGCGTTCAATGTATTCTCGGTATTAGGGCGATTCGCTAATAATGTGGGCTATAAAAAAAAACAGCTAACGACACTACTTGAATGTATAAATATGAAATTTCGTCTTGATAACTTCATTACTTCTTATATAACCTCCAGACAGGAATGACTGACTCGACAATGTTGAAAAATATCAAACACCATGCGGTGGTTAAATTCCTTACTAAACAAGGAAAAACTCAAAAAAACATGCGTGAGTGTCGTGGAACACTGGGTTAGAACGAAGTTCCTTTCGTAGTATTTTTTTAAATACTAGTAATGCTACATATTACTAATATAATATTCTCTTAATCCACTTCTGGTAAGCTTAAAACGCTTGTGTTAGAAGTGTTTCACGACAGTAGTCGAATGGCGGATTCGAACTCACAACCTTTCGAGTTCGCGGTTCGCGCCCTGTCATTAGGCTACTGACGTTTCAAATATATTATTATTGATAAACGTATTATATTATTGATTAACAAATATAATTACTAGCGTCTATTATTTTACCTGTCCTACCCGGGGTACAAATTAGAACACTTCTTTGTGCCCCGGGCTGGAGTTTGCGTATACGTCAGAGAGGATATTTGTTCTCGACACCTCGGCAGTTTTGAAGGTACGGACCTGTCCATCCTTTGGCTGCACGACGACTATCTCCGCGTTTACGTGTGCGTGTGTAGGGCCCATAGCGGTAATGCCGCCACAGACCGATTTCTTGCTACAATAGATCCCATCCGTAGATACTTGGCGATTTTAACGTCCACCACGCCGAATGGCTCGGTTCACGTTTAACTGATCATTCGGCGAGATCTGTTTATGACTTTGCCTTGGCATATAATTTGACACAACTGGTTACTTTGCCTACGCGGATTCCAGATGTGGAGGATCATACACCTTCCTTGTTGGACCTTCTGCTGACCCCGCGGTTCTGCAGACTGCCGCCGTGTTTGGCATTACAGGTCGGCGGATTGGGACGAAATGCGGTCTTTCTTTGCATCCTACCTGGGGGGAGGGGGGAGGGGGGGGGGGGCTATGTCACTGATGTAGTGCTACAGGGAATGGAACTATTTATTCCATCATCGGAGGCAGATCTCAGCCTTGACTTGGTCGTTCCTGTAAGACTGCATAGCGCAGTAAGCAGGAGTGTTATCAGGCCTGGGCTGAGGCTCGAATGTAAACAGTCGACTCCAGGTCCTTCAAAAGAGTATTAAAAGAGAGAGTATGAGGAAATTGGCAGAATTTGCGAGAAATTAGTTCGCCTTCCTTCGGGAACCCGTGCATTCTGGCCTCTCGCCAAGGCTGTTCGAGGGAATTTCTGTAAGCCATCACTACCATCTCTGCACAAGAAGGACATCTCACTGGCCCATGCCGCAAAAGAGAAAGCCGACCAGCTGATTAGTGACCGACAGTACGGTTTCCGTCGGGGTCGCTCAGCTGGTGATCTTCTTGTTTACCTCACACATAGGGTGCAGGCGATCGAGTCAAAGGGGGAGGCACTGGCCGTTAGTTTGGACATAGTGAATGGCTTCGATCGGGTCTGGCACAAAGCGCTTCTTTTGAAGCGTCCTTCCTATGGGCTTCCCGAGAAATTGTGCCATTGGGTCACCAGTTTTCTGGCTGATCGGAGCATCATGGTCGTAGTAGACGGTGCATGCTCTGATTACCCCTATTAATGCTGGTGTTCCACAAAGCTGCGTGCTTTCACCAACGCTGTTTCTTCTGCATATCGTGCCCACTGTGAAGGATAGATTTCGGATTAGGGCGAACTATTGTCATATCTCACTGGCAACAACAATTGCGAAAGTATTGGATAGTGTGCTTAACTCTGAATTGGAAAAATATTTCAGCATATATGATGCTCAGTTGGGCTTTCGCCCTGAACTTTCGACTGAAAGCACTCTAGTAAGTCTTAAGCCCACTGTCAATATTATACTGAGCATGGGACGCCGGTATACGTATATAGGTACATGGAGTCATATGATGTACTTTGGTGTGCTGGACGTGCTCAAGCTTTAGTATGCTAACCAAATAAATCATGTTAAGTGGGCTGATTCTTTATCGGATGGGGATGAGGTAGGGGGGGGGGGGCTTGTCTTTTCCGAAGCTCTTTATATGAACATAGACGATCTCATCGTAGAGCTGAGTAACATGCGTGTCGGTTGTAGGATAGATGGGATTAGGATTATTAAATATCTTGATTGCTATCTCATTATTAAATGACTAGCTGTTCCCCGCGACTTCGCCCGCGTGTGATTAGTTGTGACGATTGGATTTCATGGGTTTGAATTTTTTTGTGCGGAACCCTAATATTTTTTCTAAAATAAAAGTAGCCTAAATTACTCCTTATAACATCAGCTATCTGCCAGTGAAAATCCCGTTAAAATCGGTCCAGTCGTTTCGGAGATTAGCCGGAACAAACAGACAGACAGACAATAATTTTAAAAGTGTGTTTTTGTTATAAGTACCGTTATGTATTTTCATATGCATTTAGTAAGAAACTGTTATTTTGACATTACAAACAGACACTACGATTTTATTTATTTGTAAAGATGATTTGAAATACATCTCCGAATGCTCCACAGTGTATAGCATAAACGTGAAACGATAGTTTTAGGTAGCCCAAGATTAATACCTACTCTATAAAAGCTTTTACAAAAATTTACTTCGCAAATATCCGCGTTATAAAATAAAATGATGTGTCTTACCTAGCACGAAGAGCACCTCCCGCCCTCCCTCAATTGCGTGCACTATCCCCGTCACCACTAATCCCAGCACCGCTACTCCCAACACCACTACACTAGGCAAGACACATCTATATAGTGCACGCAATTGAGGGAGGGCGGGAGGTGCTCTTCGTGCTAGGTAAGACACATCATTTTATTTTATAACGCGGATATTTGCGAAGTAAATTTTTGTAAAAGCTTTTATATAATGGATTTCCGCAAAGTAACGCCTGATTATATTAATTAATACCTACTCGTAAACTTGATTTTTTTATAGAATTAGGGGGACAAACGAGCACACAGTCCACCTGATGGTGAGTGGTTGCTGTGGCCCATGGACATCTGCAACTATCTTTGTTTGCGAATTAAAATGCAGGTCAGCCGTGAGGACTAAGATAGAATGCCTCTTTTCCAGTGAAAAGGGTCTTCGGTTCTTCTACACTCACCATACGAAACACAGCAGCATTAAGCTGCTATTTTACGCTAGTATTCTGTGAGAGTGTGGGCCATCCCCGGTCGAGCCGACCCATTCGTGCTACAACTATACTATTAATGTAGCTGCAGCATGGCTGTACCACGTAAAATACCCACCCTAACATTAATGATGTTTAAAAATAATGTCATATCGTTTTCCCCCCATGTAAAGAACCTTGGTCTGTTGATGTTGATGGTTGGCTAGCGTGGAACAAACATATACACGTGGTGAGCCGCAATACTACTGGAACTCTGCGATCTCTATATCGCTTAGAAAACTTTCCTCCCACCGATTTCACTTATACTACCGATCATTGATTATGTCGATATTTGTTCCACAGACCTGTCTCAACATCATCTTAATACATTGTATCGTCTGCTTAACAACTGCATCAGATACATTTATGGTCTTCGTAAATACGACCATGTACCTTCTATTCGTACTCAGCTAAATTGACTACCTCTAACATCCAACAGCGCAGATATGTTAGAATACTCTGCACCCTTTTTACAATTCTGAACGATCCATGTGCCCCCGATTATCTGAAATCCAAATTTCAATACCTGGGAGATTCTCATAATTGTTCTCTCCATTCTTCGGCTAATCGTAAGTTGCTCACTCCTTTACGCCGTACTGGTTACTTATCTCATTCTTTCGCCCTCACGGCGATCAGACTCTGGAACGACATTCCTCTTGAAATTAAAAAAAAACTTCTAACAAGTTCGTTTTTAAAAATCAGGTCCGTAATCATGTGAAAAAAACCGTTGCAAGTTTGAACTAAAACAGCTCTTATTTATTTATATATATATATACATATATATATATATATATATATATAATTAAGCATAAGCATTAATCAAAGTAGTTTATATATATATAAACTACTTTGATTAATGCTGCACCGCCTCTTGTATGTCTATCTCTGTTTAGCCTAATGGTTGACTGGGAGAGAATATGTACAACTTTATGCATGAAAGTTCATACAAATGAAAAAAATTTACAACATAAGCTACGCAGACGACATGATGCTGCTCAACTACACGATGGGGGCCTGAAGGAGATGTTGAATATCTGCGAGGAGTATGCTGCTGAACATGAACTTACCTACAATGTCAAAAAGATTGAATACTTGATCTTTAAGGCCGATGGCGAAAATACCCTTAATGGCTTGAACATAAAACGTATGATGAAATTTAAATATCTGGGGCATATTATCACAAGCGACCTTAAAGACGATAATGATATTGAAATGGAGAAAAAGGCTGTAGTGTTTAGAGGTAATATGTTGACTCGAAGGTTTTCTCGCTGTACGGAAGAGGTAAATGTGACGCGATTAACATCACCGCTCTGGAGGTGCGTTCTGCGAAGAGTGACCATCAGGGGGGTCTACCCTTTCTCCTAATGGTTACTCTTAGTATATGAAAATGTACCTTAAAATTACAATATACATGAAAAATATGTACCTTATATTTTTTTGTACGTTATTTAATTTACGATTAACATAATTTTAAGTTACTTTATTAACCCATATGGATGTACAAGTTATCCGAAATAAACAATTATTATTATTATAACTGTACAAAGTGGATGCTGTGGCCAACATCTACATCCATCCTCGATTAAGAATCAAAATGCAGATGCGTTGTCACTACTGAGAATTAAGATGGAACACCAATTAACAACTTCTAATATTACACTAGTAAAAAGGGTATCTTTTTTTTTATAGGAGAGGGGGCAAACGAGCATGCGGCTCACCTGATGGTAAGTGACTACCGCCGCCCATGAATAACCGCAACACCAGGGGAATTGCAGATGCGTTGCCGGCCTTTTAAAAAGGAGTAGGCTCTTTTCTTGTAGGTACCTAAGTCGTATCGGTCCGGAAAATTCGCTGGTGGTAAACTATTCCACAAGGCAGTTGTGCGAGGAAGAAAACATCTTCTCAATCGCACAGTGGTGGACCGCCAATCATCCAGATGGTGTGGATGGTATTGAGAGTTCTGCCGCGATGTGCGTTCGTGAAATTTGGCGGCTGGGATTAATCCGAACAATTCCTCAGAGCACTCCCCATGATAAATGCGAAAGAAAATGCTAAGAGATGCAACATCTCTTCGCAGTGCCAATGAGTCGAGCCGATCGGAAAGGACTCGGTCGTCGACGATTCGAGCCGCTCTGCGCTGGATGCGGTCAAAGGGAAGGAGCTGGCACTGGAGAGCCTCAGCCCAGTGATGGGAACAGTATTCCATGTGAGGCCGAACCTGCGCCTTGTAAAGTTGCAGGCGTTGAGCCGGCATGAAATACTGTCCCGCTCTGCTGAACACGCCAAGCTTTTTAGAGGCCAATTTGGCCTTCTCTTCCAATTGACCATGAAACTGCACGTTACTCGATATGTCGACGCCGAGGATTCCGATACTGGCTGAGGCAACAAGGGGAGTACCTTGAAACTGAGGAGATACGATAAAGGGGTTCTTTTTAGTGGTAAACGCGCAAACTTGTGTCTTCTGAGGATTAAACTGGACTAGATTTAGTCGCCCCCAATCCGAGACTTTGTCCAGCAAAGACTCGACTTCAGACACAAGTTTGTTCCGGTACTCGGTGACGTTTTCCCGAGAAATATTGGCACGTCCGGTGTATAGAGCATCACCAGTGCTGTCGTCCGCATAGCAATGAATGCTACCGGCTTGCAACATATCATTGATATGCAGAAGAAACAGCGTTGGTGATAGCACGCAGCCTTGTGGAACACCAGCGTTAATAGGCTTGTAGTCGGAGCATGCACCGTCTACAACGACCTTGATGCTCCGATCTGCAAGAAAGCTGGTGATCCGATTGCATAATTTCTCGGGAAGCCCATAGGAAGGGAGCTTCGAAAGAAGCGCTTTGTGCCAAACCCGATCGAAGGCCTTCGCAATGTCCAAACTAACGGCCAATGCCTCCCCCTTGGACTCTACTGCCTCCACCCATCTATGAGTAAGGTAGACCAGAAGATCACCAGCTGATGGACCCTGACGAAAACCGTACTGGCGGTCACTAATCAGCTGGTGATCTTCAAGGTACCGCATAACGGATTCCATTATTATGGAGAACAAGGGGGTGATGGCGATAGGCCTGTAGTTGGACGGATCTGAGCGGTCGCCTTTTTTAGGGATCGGGTGGACAAAAGCTGTCTTCCATGATTTCGGGACTACGCCTAGGGAGTAGGAGTACCGGAAAAGACGCGTTAGAACCGGTGCCAACTCCGGAGCACACGTCCTCAGCACAATTGGGGGGATTCCGTCAGGCCCACTCGACTTGTGGATGTCAAGGGAGAGGAGTGCTCTGCGAACCGAGCGCTGTGAGAACCGCACATCCGGCATGGAGCACTCACACCGCGGGATGGTCGGCGGTGTGTTCCCCCCGTCATCAACAGTCGAGTTGGACGCAAAAAGGGAGCCTAAAAGGTCGGCCTTCTCTTTTGCGTCGTGGGCCAGTGAGTCGTCCTCCCTGTGCAGAGATGGTAGTGATGGCTTACAGAAATTCCCTTGGACAGCCTTGGCGAGAGACCAGAATGCACGGGTTCCCGAAGGAAGGCGAACTAGTTTCTCGCCAATTCTGCCTATGTGCTCTGACTTTGCCTTGGCAATAACTCTTTTGAAGGACCTGGAGGCGAAGTTATACTTCTTTTTAGGTGTGCTGGTGTTTACATCCCGAGTCACCGAAGCCGCAGCCCAGGCTTGATAACACTCCTGCTTACTGGTTCTCTACACTCGCCATACGAAACACAGCAACATTAAGCTACAGTTTTACGTTAGTATTGTGTCTGTAATAATCTCGTGACCATAATCTGTGAGCAGGAGCGCACTCCATCGTTCCTGTCGCTGGATGTATGCGGGCGAGTGTTGCGGTTGGACTCGACATCGAAGTGCTTGAGCGCGGGCCTGCGCACCGGCTGGCTGACCGCGCCGCACGCGCTTGTCGCACGCGCCGAGCTGCACTCGCAGGCAGAGCTCCTGCACCCCGCCACGCTGTCGCAGGTGCGCACACACACAAGCACACACACACACACACACACACACACACACACACACACACACGTGCACACACATACACACATACACACACACTCGCACACACGATCACTCACACACTCGAAGGCAGTACGGCTGCATCCCGCCGCGCTGTCGCAGGTGCCCACACATACACACACACACACGCGCACGCACACACGTACACCCACACAAGCACACGTACACACGCATACGCACACACGCACACGCACAAGCACACGTACACGCACACACGCACACGCACACGTACACGCAAACGCAAACACAAAAATGCACACACACACACACTCGCAGGCCGAACGGGTACATACATATATTATGTATATATATTAGGTATGTGTGTGCCTGTAGCTTATATCTTATATGTATATTTTTTTAATTTATTAGGATTATCAACGATTGATTTATTATTACATCTTTAATGATAGTCTTATTTCTAAATTTACAATCAATGAAAAACACAGCGTGCTAATCGCACACTATCAAGCGCGGTAACTATATCAAATAGTATGTCTCCATGAGCCGTGAGGCAATTTTTCTTTTTTCTTTTTTTTTCTAATATGTATGTTTTGGTAAAGGTGTGTCAGGATCATGCCAAATGGAAATCAGTAGTCTCTCCCTACTACTCTGTGTAACAAAGGTGTGAGTTTGTAAAGTGGCAGGCCTATGTTGTGTGGACTTTTAATAGACTGTATTTGTTATTATTGGTGTATCTGTCCACAGGCGATAATCCTTCACCTCATATCGGACCGTTCAGAGCTGGCGACTCACATGATTCGAGTCCGTTCCTTCTATCGTTTGCGGCGGGATGCTCTGCAGCATGCACTGCGGGAACTGAGCGGGCTCGCGCACTGGACCTCGCCGCGGGCTGGGATGTTCTTCTGGATGCGAGTCGATGGAGTCGACGACGTATATAACATGGTTAGTGAACATATATTTAATTAATTATTTCTTATGTTTACGCGAACACTACACATTTAAATAACACTAGTTTTACGGATTTTATCGAGTATATTAACATCATAGTCACAGGGAGGGGCTGAGGTGTTTGACGTCCGAATGACATAGACCTTCAGATGAAAATTAAATTATAAACAGAATATTAGTTTGAATAGTTTTATTAACATCTATTTATTAATTTAAAAATAGCAAATGTTGCTTTATTTCTGTATAGGCAGTCTAATTACGTAAATAATTATTCCAAGCAAACACATTGCCTATAAATAAATAATCTCACTACAGCACGCATGGGTCGTATCGACCGGGGAACGACCACGCTCTCATAGAATACCAGCGTAAAATAGCTTAACACATTCACTGCACGGTATAACACACAATAGCAAGACAATAGCAATGTGCCATATTATGTGGCTCATAGAACAGGGAATGGGTAAAAATGATGCTCTGTTTTGTATAACGAGTGTGAGGATAGGAGACCCTCACTGGAAACGAGGTATTACTTATTATTTTGATTCTTAATCGAGGGTAAATGTATCTATGATTTCAGCATCGACTTACCATAAGGTAAACTGTATGCTCGTTTGTGACCCATTGAAGTTAGTGGCAAATGCTCATGCTCTATAACAGCTTCTTGCCATCAGATCAGTTTATACGTGGTAGAGCCATGCAGCAGCTATATTAGTAGTATAGTTGTAGCACGAATGGGTCGGCTCGACCGGGGAAGGACCACGCTCACGCAGAATATCAGCGTAAAATAGCACTTTAACGCTGCTGTGTTTCATATGGTGACTGTAGAGAACCAGAGACCCTTTATACTGGAACGAAGCATTCTATATTGGTCCTCAGGGGTAAATATCTTTCCAGTAAATAGGATCTGCATATGAAACACAGCAGCTTTAAACTGCTATTTTACGCTGGTCTTTTGTGAGAGCGTGGTCCTACCCCGATCGAGCCAACCCATTCCTGCTACAACCATATTATAGCTTCAGTATATCTCTACCAGGTATAAAGGTATAAAAGAAAATACTAAGTTATATTCTGTTCTTAATAGGGTGCGGATCTTAGGGACAAAAATATATATACAGTTACTAATAACTGATGGTGTACTGTCCATAAGCTCTTTTTTAATTTACGAGATATTTAATTTTTAAGTATATTAATCTGACTCGAACTACATGCATGCATTCGTTCCGCCCTATGTCCTTGCGGGACGTCCTTGAGACTTTTTTATGATATTATACTGAAAATGAGCTATAACAACTAGCTAACATAACATGGTACCCACCTGATAGCAAAAAGCTGCTATAGAGTGTGAACATTTGCCACTAACTTCAAGTTAAAAAAATGATCACAGATGCGTTGACACCCTTCAGTGGTACCTAGGTTTCCCAACCTCGGGCAATCCAGGAGGGATTGCCCTAGAGACACCGGTAATAATGGTTAATCTCCCGACATCCCGGGGTGCAATAACTTCTCCGGCTTTTCTAAAAATTTTACGCATTCGTCGCTCGCACGTGTCACTGCTCATTCGTTTTGCGGTCACACAGACGCGGCTGAATACCGTACAAAAAGAAACACCTAGTACTTACGTTCCAATTTTCTTCGCCAGGTATTCCACCGGGCCTTTGAACGTGGGCTGATGTTAGTTCCGGGGCATGCCTTCATGTACGACACCAGTTTGCCGTGTCCTTACTTGCGTTTGACCTTCAGCAAAATCCCGGAACAGGATATGGAGCTGGCGGCTAAGCAACTTGCTGCCATCATACGGGAGGAGCAGAAGTTCATGCAGACGCGACCTCAGAGGTTAGCCACTGAACGGTAGATGATAATGTGGGTGGTAGAGATCTAAATTAAATAATTAATAGAATAAGGCGTTACTTTGCGGAAATCCATTATATTAAACATGTTAAAAATTTATCAGCTAACAGCCACGTAATAATGAAATGATGTGTCTTACCTAGTTTGAAGAACACGAAATGAGGACTAATGATCTTTCGCTCAACAGATGTCGCTAGTAGGGACTGAGGTGATTTTTTTTTTGTTACACAATGTCATATAATTGAGAAATAAAATTGTATCGTCTTTTGACCCGAATTTGAACTTGCAGCGCTGATTATTTTGTCACTATTTGTTTATATACAGTTTTGTATTGTTTTATAAACAAAAGCATTTACATTGTAATAAGTTTATATAAATACGAATAAAAATAACATTCCCATACAATGACGGCTAAGGCCATTTGACCTATTCAATAGATGAATGAATTGTTGTTGTAGGTATGATAATTTTATTGACTAATCTTATTTCACTCAACACGATGTCATTGAGTTAATTTCATTATTTTGGTTGATATTTCATGTTAAATGTGTCAGTGTATCATTGTAGTTGAAATATTGACATTATTGGAATTGTTGCCAGAATATCAATCGCATAGTCAAGGTGAAGGTGTTTCCTTACTACCAGAAATTGAAGATAGCGATTCATATATTCCTGCAGCGCCTGATTCAAGTTCTAGTGATGATTCGGACAGCAACATACCGTTGAATGTCATTAAACAACAAACTAGGGGAAGATCGTCTCGGCGACGATAAGTACGTAGTGGCGGCGTTCGTACAGCAGTTTATGGAAATATTTCTCATAATAATATAATGTTACCAGGTGGAATATTGTGGAAAACCATATTTGAAAATGACTCAGAGGTGGCAGGTTGTCGAGGAAGTCAAAATGTTGTGACTGAACAGTCAGGACATACCGGCTATGCACGGAGCCAAGTTGGGGAGAAATTCATAACAGCCTGGAAACTTTTGATAGAGGATACGATTTTTCGGCTTGGTCATTCATGGTATATTTCCCTAGAAGAACTTGAAAAATTCATTTACATCCTGTATGTTGGAGGTTGTTTTGCGGCGAGAAATGTATCTGTAAACGATTTATGGAGTAACTAGCTTTTGCCCACGACTTTGTCCGCATAGATATTATAGTTTAAATCATAGGTGATTCATCAATAATTGCACTTTCATAGTAAATTCCATCACCCACTTTAGGGATGATTTCCGTGATCAAAGCTATCCTATTTCCTTCCCCGGGACTTAAACTATCTCTGTACCAAATTTCATCTAAATCGGTTCAGCGGTTTAAGCGTGAAGAGGTATATTTGTTCACGCGGCGATATGCGATGTTTTCCCCACCTCGCCTGCAGTACGCCCGACCGCCCTGCGCGCTTCGGACCGCACAATTATATATCGTCATTACTTTTCAAAATTTTGACCAAATTACGTAGTATAAAAGAAATTTATCTAATTTAAACATCAGAAGCGATTAAATTATTTATTTTGACAAAATCCATTTGTTACTGCAAAATGTGCATTGGAAATAAAGAATCAAATTTTATTTTATTTACTTACTATTTTGGTAATAATGGCTTACACATAAAAGATACATATATACTGTCGTGGACTTTTTTGTAGAACTAATTAGGACAAACAATTCCACCATGCATTATATTTGTGTAACTCTTACAGTTTTTGCACCACGCGCCAAAATAGCTCGCAATGATAGATATTTTGCGACTTACTTAACACTTATCTTTATATTTTGACCAATTTGCACAATATCTTTATTAATTATATCCTATGTGTTGTTCTGATGTATAAGTTTCATTAAAATCCATTTAGAAGTTTTTGCGTAGAAGAGTAACAAACATCCATACATCCTCAGAAACTTTCACGTTTATAATATTAGTAGGATATATGGGGCATTCCATATTTTTCTAAAACTATGCCTAGGGGTAGATTGAAAAAAAATTATGAAATATTTACGATTCATGTGAGATCAGATAAAGATTGCTTTATATCTCAAGTATGAAATCGCTTTATTAACAACTGCATTAAGTGCTACGAACCGGGAGAAAATGTAACAATGGATAAACATTTGTTTGTTTCAAAAGTTCGATGTCCTTTTGTGCAATATATGGTTAAAAACCTGATAAAGAAATAAAGTTTTGGCTATGTGTTGATTTCAAATGTAAATACTTTTTGAATGCTTAGCCATATCTTTGGAAAGATGAAACTCGACCGGAAAATCAAAGTCTTGCACAACAGTTCGTCATGCATCTTATGGAACCATTTCTGCATAAAGGTAGAAATGTGACTACAGATAATTGTTTCAAATCTGTGTCTCTCGCACAGAACTTGCTTTCAAAACGTACATCTCTGATCGGTACTATAAATAAAGGGAATTGTGACATTCCATCGTACGTAAAAAAGCTAACATTGGATTTATATGACACCAAAGCACTAAAAACAGAAAATGACAAATGCTTATTGACTTTTTAACAAACAAAGAGAAGTAAAATGTTTTTTTTATTGAGTACATTACATGATACTGTTAATATACACAGTGGCAATGTCAAGAAAAAACCTAAAACTGTTATGTTTTACAGTTCAAGTAAATATGGTGTTGTCGTTGTCGATGAAATGACGAGAAGATACGGCACAAAAGCACCTTCTAGAAGATGGCCTGTACAAGTATTTTACGATATTTTAGATTTTTCTGCAATAATAAATGCCTGGGTGTTGTACCAAGAAATAAACAACAAAAAAATAAATAGAAGAGAATTTATTCTGCAAATGGCGGTTGAACTGAGTAACACTTTAGAAGAATCCACTTGTGAAACCTCACTGCAACGTTCTATCGCCAGCAGCTGAGTCGAGGAAGAGGTGTAATTGCGGTCCAACTCATTGTAAATATAAAATTAATAAAGTGTGTGACTTGTGCAAAAAAACCACTACGTGGCAGATGCAGTAATTTGTAAAAAATATTTCACCTCGTTACTAAGTGCCGCCGCCCCGTTGGCAAAAAATATCGTGGATGGCCTCATTGAGGAAAAGCGGGAGGTGTTCTTCAAATTAGATAAGACATCATTTTATGTTATGGCGCGGATGTTAGCAAGTTAATTTTTAAAATCTTTAACCTATATTAGAACTATTTTCATGCACAAGCAGATTTAGGTAGGTCCTGTTATTATAGTCTATTGTATTAATTAAGTAAATGTAAGCCGTCTTGAATGAATGATTGAATGAAATATACTTTATTGTACACCGATAAATAAGAGAAAAAATACAAATAAAAAAAAACAAAAGTACAATTATCGGCCTTATCGCTTACAAGCGATCTGTTCCAGGCAACCACATAGCAGAGGATATAATGACCTCTTAGATTATAAATTATCTAAATATGACCTGAGAGAAAGGGTAAGGGTGTACGCAAGTTATTTGAAAATTCATACAACATATATAGATACAATTATGATTTTATTCAATAAATACATAATATACACTATAATTAATAAATACATTTCAGTTACAAAAATATAGAAATACATATACAAGAGCATACAGGAGTAAACAAGTAAGTAAAAAAGTAGGTAGCAATTTTAATGAGCGACGTGAGTTCAGGGTTCAGGGAGAGATAAAGGAATGATATATTCCTATTCAAGGAGAAAAGAAGTGCGCATCTTGAAGTGTACTTTTCATTTCTTATATCCTTAAAATACCTACCTAGGTCATTTTATTAGTGTGGCTTTGTAATAGGCCAAGTTTAAGCATAGGGCACATTTCTGTTCCTTATGGAAAAAACCGCTATCCGCTGAGTCACAGTCAAAAGTTCAGTCAGCGGTTTACCGAATCGTGTAAGAAAAAAACATAATCAAAAATGTCTTTGACTTGTATAAAATATGATAATATGATAATTTATTTCTGAAAATTGTGTATTTATAAATAGGAAATTTTTAAATACAAAAATTATATGTCCGATGGACTTTTGAAATTTCCGGAGAGAGGACAACCCTAATGTAGATTACTATAGATTATTTCACAGTCAAGAAATGATTATTAACAAAAAAAAATATTCAGCTTAGGCATAAAGGAACTCCAACCGCGACTGGTCGTTGCTGCTGGTGATAAGAGGGCTGATTCTTTTCTCGCTCAGAGGTTAACTATAATAGCCATTCAAAGGGGAAACGCAACCAGCGTTCTTGCCACGATACCGCGGGGAGTAGGACTGTATGATAATTAAGTTACTAGTCTTAGTTTTGTTTTTTATTATAGTGTTTAATAAAAAAAAATAAAAGCATAATTAATCTGATATGAATGTCGACATGTGCGACTTATTACTTCTACAGAGAAAGATCAGCAAGAAACCAGTTATTGCTTGTTTTATAATTTTATTATACATAATAATATCTTATAATTGATTGAGTCATACAATTTTGGCATCACAAACCACAATTTGTTATTGGCAGTTCAGTAATGTTATCTGGAAGTTTATTAGCTACTATCCATGTTATAGGTAGCTTAGTCTAACCTTATTTTAGGAATGTACATTTTATTGTTGTAGGAAGGTAGTCCTACTTTATTTATTTTGATAAATGTGTGTGAATTAAATATCCTATATTTCCCTATATATTATATATTATCGTATATTCATATATTTCTTTAATTTGAATTATTATACTAGTCATAATAGACTCGTATAAATAAATTATGGTCGACAAGAAGAATATTATTAGTAATAAGATGTGATTTTTACGTACTTATTTAAAATAGTTAAAATAAAGTTATTGATGTTTTTGTTGTTTAATATTCAATATAATTTTTAATTAGGAATACCGCCATCTATCGTAATTCGGTAACTAAGTAATAAGCATAACATTTCGTCTTGTTCTATTATGCCATCTATTGAGTATAGTGGCAAATATATTTTTTATACGTATTTACTTTTAGTCACTTAATGATTTTTACAGTATAAGAAGGAAAGTATAGA